CTTACGACACTGGAAGACAGAAGAGTAAGGGGAGACATGATCACAACCTACAAAATCCTCAGAGGAATCGACCGGGTAAACAAGGATAAACTATTCAACACTGGTGGGACGCGAACAAGGGGACACAGGTGGAAACTGAGTACCCACATGAGCCACAGGGACGTTAGAAGGAACTTTTTCAGTGTCAGAGTAGTTAACGGATGGAATGCATTAGGCAGTAATGTGGTGGAGGCTGACTCCATACACAGTTTCAAATGTAGATATGATAGAGCCCAGTAGGCTCAGGAATCTGTACACCAGTTGATTGACAGTTGAGAGGCGGGACCAAACAGCCAAAGCTCATCCCCCGCAAGCACAAATAGGTGAGTACAAATAGGTGAGTACACACACACACACAGGAAGCAGCCCGTGACAGCTGACTAACTCCCAGGTACCTATTTACTGCTAGGTAACAGGTGCATCAGGGTAAAAGAAACTTTGCCCATTTGTTTCTGCCTGGCCCGGGAATCGAACCTGGGCCACAGAATTACGATTCCTGCACGCTGTCCGCTCAGCTACCAGATCACCTGGTAGGTAACAGGGGGGTCTGGTCTGTGTGTGTGTACTCACCTAGTACTCACCTAGTTGTGTTTGCGGGGGTTGAGCTCTGGCTCTTTGGTTCCACCTCTCAACCGTCAATCAACAGGTGTACAGATTCCTGAGCCTATTGGGCTCTATCATATCTACACTTGAAACTGTGTATGGAGTCAGCCTCCACCACATCACTTCCTAATGCATTCCATTTGTCCACCACTCTGACACTAAAAAAGTTCTTTCTTGTACTCACCTAGTTGTGCTTGCTGGGGTTGAGCTCTGGCTCTTTGGTCCCGCCTCTCAACTGTCAATCAACTGGTGTACAGATTCCTGAGCCTACTGGGCTCTATCATATCTACATTTGAAACTGTGTATGGAGTCAGCCTCCACCACATCACTGCCTAATGCATTTCATCTGTTAACTACTCTGACACTGAAAAAGTTCTTTCTAACGTCCCTGTGGCTCATTTGGGTACTCAGTTTCCACCTGTGTCCCCTTGTTCGCGTACCACTCGTGTTAAACAGTTTATCTTTATCTACCCTGTCAATTCCTGAGAATTTTGTAGGTAGTGATCATGTCTCCCCTTACTCTTCTGTCTTCCAGTGTCGTGAGGTGCATTTCACGCAGCCTTTCCTCGTAACTCATGCCTCTTAGTTCTGGGACTAGTCTAGTGGCATACCTCTGAACTTTTTCCAGCTTCGTCTTGTGCTTGACAAGGTACGGGCTCCATGCTGGGGCCGCATACTCCAGGATTGGTCTTACATATGTGGTATACAAGGTTCTGAATGATTCCTTACACAGGTTCCTGAAGGCTGTTCTGATGTTAGCCAGCCTCGCATATGCCGCAGATGTTATTCTTTTTATGTAGGCTTCAGGAGACAGGTTTGGTGTGATATCAACTCCTAGATCTTTCTCTCTGTCCGCTTCATGAAGGACTTCATCTCCCTTTCTGTATCCTGTGTCTGGCCTCCTGTTTCCACTGCCTAGTTTCATGACCTTGCATTTACTCGGGTTAAACTTTAATAGATATTTGTTGGACCATTGATTCAGTCTGTCTAGGTCATCTTGTAGCCTCATACTATCTTCCTCCGTCATAATCCTCCTCATAATTTTTGCATCATCAGCAAACAATTATCCAATGGAGTACCTTCCCTTTCACTCCAGCCTGCATCTCCAGCTTTCGCACTAGTCTCTGGTGTGGCACTGTGTCAAAGGTTTTCTGACAATATAAAAATATGCAATCTGCCCACCCCTCTCTTTCTTGCCTGATTCTTGTTGCCTGGTCGTAGAATTCAATTAATCTTGTGAGGCAGGACTTGCCATCCCTGAAACCATGTTGATGTGTTACAAAGTTCCTTCGCTCCAGATGTTCCACTAGCTTTCTTCACACAGTCTTCTCCATCAGCTTGCATGGTATGCAGGTTAGGGACACTGGCCTGTAGTTCAGTGCCTCCTGTCTATCCCCCTTCGTGTGTATCGGGACTATGCTAGCTGCTTTCCAAACTTTCGGCAGTTCACCTGTGGCTGCCAAAGATGCATTCATAAATGTTAATATGCTGTTTCTTCAAAACAGAAATTTTCTCTTATATAAATTAATATTATATATTAGCATATTGTGCATATTTAGGCATTGGTTAAGTTAGGTGTTTAGGTTCTGTTGGCGATTATTTGTGTTTGTAGTACGTGGGTGAAGCATTTATAGCGTTGTGGTTCGAACACCAGTCGTCAGTGAAGCACTTGTTCCGGAAGTGTTCGAACGTCAGCAGTTGTGAGTCGTGTGTAAACCGCTTATCATTCATACACAGGGGGTTTGGCGGGTGCATGGAATCACTTTTGGGTCATTGTTTGGAGGACGGGCTGGATTTCTGTCCCACCCGGGATTCGAACCCAGAATTCCCGATAATGAGTCGAGAACGATCCCAATTCAACCCGTCCTCCAAACAAAGACCCTAAAGTGATTCCATGCACCCGCCAACCCCCCCCCCCCCCCTCCCATCACAACTGATTTCGTTCGAACACTTCCGGAACAAGTGCTTCACTGACGACTGGTGTTCGAACCACAACGCCGTAAATGCTTCACCCACGTACTACAAATACAAATAATCACAACAACAGAACCTAAACACCTAACCTATATTATAGATTGTGTGTTGGTGGTGTCGTTGTTGTCGTCGTGTTCCTCCTTTACGGACAACCCAACCCACAACTCGGTAGAGTGCTTATACCTCACTAGGAGATCACCCTTGGCGTTTCTGGCTCTTGGAGAGGGGTTCAACGTCACACATTTAGGGGATGCGGCTCCAACACTTAGCCTCGTTGTCACGTGCACACACCCACTCGAGCCGCTGTGACTCCCCACTCTCTCCTTAGGTGATATGATCTCCTCAATCCCCCTTTTGACTTATTAGTATTACCTTCTACCCTGTCCACAGCAGTGGTTCTTGGTTCTTTCTCTCTCTCTCTCTCTCTTCTTCTGTACTATTTCATGGGAAGCCTCACTAGGACAAGGGCAAATACCAGCAAATTGTGATACATTTACTGGACAAAGCACATACACAATACATACACACATACAATACAATGTTCCTTGATACACAACAATGATCAATCGATCACTCTATCAGTCCTAGAACACATACATCTGTAGGTAATCCAGCCTACGCCTGCAACTCTAAACTTCAGTATAAAACACTCCTTGACGTAATGCAAACAACCACTCACCTCTCACTGCGTCTTGCACGCTAATGACAACCAAACACTATCAACTCCCTACAATTAATCCACCAGAACTTCCCTTCCACCTCTGAAAGTTCACTACCCTGATATCTTTAGGTTCTTCCGGGCTTCACTACCAGGATCCTTTGCAGCTCCTCCAGGCTGCTATCATGAAGTTTCCTTGAGCAACTACGGTGATTCACCCTTCTGCTAGAGTCCTCCACACCTCTCTTGGCTGCTGCACCATGAAGTTTCCTCGAGTAACTATGGTGCTTCACCACCTCTACAGAAGCACGTGACACTCCTCTTCGCTGCTTCTCCTCACAGCTCGAGGTCCTCTGCTCCACTACCATGGAGTCTCATCAACTACTCCCTCTGTGCTGGCTTCGAAGTTCTCAGTAACTTCTTCCCCAAAGACAAACCTGCAACCCATCGACACTCCAATAAAAATGTTTCCCCTTTAACACATAAACAAAAATAATCACACAATATGTTTGCCTCAAACCTCTATCTGTCCTCTACATACTGTGAGAATGGACTCCCCCGTTTTGGGCGGGTTCATACTCCACCTCGCCCGGCGGCGGTCCTCAGTCACGCTGGGAGGGTCTTCCACCGTCAGGAGCCGGGCTCCCTCAGTTGCCTGCCAGCGCTCAGAGGAGATGGACGTCGCTCCGTGTTCCTGCCTCTCCACTCTCTTATTTCAGGCCTTCTGCCTTATTAAAACATGTCTAACTTATCAATAAACATTGCTACTGTCGCTGGGCACACGACCAACTACAAGCAATCACTATGAACTAGCGTATATCGTGCTTACCACAGATTGTCTCGTCGAGGGCGCTCCTCCCTCTGACGGAGCTTGGTCAGGGCGCTGCCACGGCCCACGATAATGTCTCTGGCCTTTTTTAATAAACACTCCTCGTCGCCCACGACTTGAGACCACACGTTCCCAGCTCGATTCCACAGCTGGTACGTCTGCACACTTCTCTTCTCTTCGAGATATATCACTAGGGGTTCCTTTCTGACGGGAGCTCAACGGAATGCGGCTTTCCCCCTGCGATGTCTGGCCTCAAGTGAGGTCAAAGCCCTCCAGAAGCGAGCCTCGCGTCTCCAGCAAAATGTCCACATCTCCTAGCCAGTCATTTATCTGTTTCATTCTTCACTGCCCATAATCTTAAATTGTTATATATATCCAAACAACTATTTTACATATGGGTTATCACCTCAATATTTGCTAGACCTTCTAATCAGGTCAGGCTTGATGAATAACTCTCAAGGGGGAGACTCGTTTCTCCTGTAGGCTGAGATCATAACACCTAACCTATGCCTATATATGCACAATATGCTAATATATTATAATATTAATTTATATTTGAGAAAATTCCTGTTTTGAATGAACAGCATGATAAAATTGTTAAATACGTCTGTGGGGTCGACCGCTGGATGGAATGGACTTGGTCTGAAAACAGGTTGACCAATTGTGTACCGAATAATATATACCAAATGGAAGTGTTTAGAATAACATACCAAAATCATTATAATAAACGAAGGCATGTCTGCTACATCAGGTATATGTGATCCATATTGTGGAAGGATATAAAAAAAGTGCCTTCTAGAGGAAAAAAAGGTGGGTAAAAATGGTCAGTTGGCACCCGACCCAGCTGACTGAGGTTGAGCTGGTGGGTAAGGATCGATGGCAGTGCCGGCCCGACCA